GGTACATCTGGAGGAAAATGGAGGAAGCTTGAAGCCTGAGAACACCATCCCAGCTGTGAAGCACGGGGGTGGCAGCATCATGCAGCAGGAAGTTAAAGCTTGGGCACTAATGGGTCTTCAGATGGACAATGACCCTCAGCATAGCGCCAGATTAGCTACAGAGAGGCTTCAGCACAACAGAGTCAGTGTTGTGGAGCGGCCATCACAAAGCCCTGGGGCCTGGACTACAAAGCGAGGTCAACATACCCGGGATACCTTCCGGAGGTCTGGCTTGACGAACCCTAACAACGGCACTCAGGAGTATCTGAAGAAAGTACTAAAAAAAATTCTCTCTCTCATTGCTCTGTTGTTTAGCAAATAGAAATAATGTTGATGATCCTGACTGACCTGAAACAGGAAACATTTCGTCTGATTTAATGTCAGACGCTGAGGAGAAAAAAAAGGTTTTATGTCTTATTATACAGTGGATGTAAACTTCTGAGTTCATAACTCGTGTTTTGCTTGTAGTTTGGGACATACTTATGAGAATGAAAAATATTTCCTCATACATGTGAACATAAACAGTACATTAGACAGTGGTATTTATTAGGATGGTGTTGGTATAAAGCTCTGGTTTTCATTCTTCTAGTTAAGCTGTAAAAACACGTAAACACAGAATCACTTCAACGGCTTCAACTCAAACACTAAACAACGTGTACATGACCTCAGAGACACTTTTGTCCTTTTTATTAACTTTTTAAAAATCGTTTGACTATGTTAAAGCAGGTGGTTACGTTTGGAAAAGGTGTCATTTTGGGAGGAATCTTGACACTTCAACTTGAGTTCCTATCAGTAATATCTCAATAACACACTAATAGCACACAAAGAAAGTCACACTGAGGACCTTAAAGACAAAAATGTCACCAGAAAAACCCATTAACCACTTTTCACATCTTATGTGGAAAATAATTCATTTCCTGTTTGTTTTTTAATTTATAAAAACAAACAATTGCCCTCATGTAAATAAACTGACATATCCCAGACAAAATAATATACACACAGAGATTTGTTTTAAATTATTACTTTATTTTCTTTTCATAGAGATTTTTTATTATTATTTTTTACAAACACAGTCTTTAAGGTCTTAACATGACTTCTTTTTGTATCTGACTGCACTTTGTTTTGTTTTGTGGTTGAGGACATTTTAGTCTTTAAGGTCCTACTTCTTTGAGTTTTTTTTTCTTGTTTTTTTGTGTGTTTTTTTTTTAATCTGACACCTCACAAAAAATAATTATGCATCAAAATCAAAGGTGTTGAACTGCTGACACATCCGAAGCTGTGATCATATCATCAAAATCCAGCACTTGTATAGAAAATACCTCATTTGTGTTATTTTTTCATATTAAAATCCTGAAAATTAATGAACATTTGATGGTTATGATCGGGCTGGTATTCTGGCGGTTTCTTGGTCGACGATGTTTTTGTCTTTAAGTGTAATTGTTCCAATTAGCACTTATATGGAAAATAATTTCTTTCAGTGTTCGTTTTTTTTGTTTGTTTGTTTGTTTTTGCCAGTTGTAATCAGGATGGATGAACCCAACAAAGTGGAAAATAATATGAATATATGATATTTTTATGGAAGTTTTTTAAGTCAAGGACAGTTTTTTCTTTAAGGTCCTAAAAGGGACCTAAAGGAAAGTAATTCATTTTGTGCTTTTTTAAAATGTATTGTAAAATACTGAAAATAATGAAGAGTTGGTAGTTATACTCAGGCTCAAAATGTAGAAATGTAGAAAGTGGAACGTAATGTTAATATATCATGTTTTAATTCCTGCAAACATCTTGTCTTTAAGGTCCTGCGTGTGATTTTAAATGGACATGTGAGGGTTACATCAGCAGGAATGAAACCAAATGTCTGGTTTCAGGCCTGGTTCTCCTACAGGTCACAGAAACTCTCGCTGAGCTCCCACAGCTTCTTGGCAGCGGCGTCGTCCCTCGCCTTCGGCTCGATGCTGAGCACCGGGGCACACTGGGTGAAGTAGTGTCCGCTGAGGTGCTCGATGCCTGGCTCCAGGGCACAGTGGAGGCTGGTCTGGGCTCCAGAGTCGGCATCCACAGCGAACAGGAAGATGAGAGGAGTGATGAAGAGCCTCCACCAGAAACTAGCGTAGCGACCGATCTCCGTCTTAATGAACCCTAGAGAGAGAAGAGGAAACGTTCAGGTGTGTTAAGTTTACAGCTAGGACCGTTTTGTGTCTCTTGGTGGTTGTTTTGTATCTGTTTGTAGTTGTTTTAAGTCTCTTTTTGGTTGTTCTGTATCCGTTTTGTGTCTCTTTCGACGTGTCTGTCTTTATGGTCATTGTGCGTCTGCTTGTGGGTGTTTTGCATCTATTTGTGGTAATTCTGTGGCTCTTTGTCGTCATTTTGAGTGTCTTTGTGGTGGTTTATGTGTTTGTGGACATTTTGACTTTCTATTGTCTTTGTGAGTCTGTTTGTGAGTGTTTTGTGTCAAAATGCTGCAAAAGTAACCTAAAAAGTTTAAGTTTACTTAAACATCTTGGGATTTTCTTGGCATTGGCTTCCCAAGTAACGATCGTGCAGATGACAGAAGTTACAAACATCCGATGTGTAAGTCGACCACTGACCGGGATGGAGGCTGTAACAGGTGACGTCGGACCCCTGCAGCCTCTTGGCCAGCTCGTAGGTGAACAGGATGTTGCACAGTTTGCTGTGGCAGTACCTCTCGAGGAGCTGAATACTGTTGGTGCCCAGCGCCAAAGCTTTGTGAGTCGTCAGACAGTTAAAATCCACTTTCCCCGACTTGTAGGCTTTGGATGAGACGTTCACCACACGGCTCGGCCCGCTGGCCTTCAGCCGATCCAACAGCAACACCGTCAGCAGGAAGTGACCCAGGTGGTTGACGCCGAAGATCATCCCGAAGCCGTCCTCTGTCTGTCCACTGGTCATGAGGCCTGAAGACAGAAAACACTATTAAAAACACATAAAGCCCCCCCCCGGGGTAAAGATCAGAGGACAGAGAACTGACCTGCGTTGTTGATGAGCAGATCCAACCTGGACTCGGACTTCAGAAAGTTGTCGGCAAAGGAACGAACTGACTGCAGACTGGCCAGGTCGAGTTGCATGAAGATCACCTGCTGGTTCCCTGTTTCCTGATAAGGGTTACAAATAAAATGCATTTTGGTTTCACCTACTACGGAAGCCGAGAGCGGTCATGGCTGCACATTTTTTTAAACGCCATTTTTTCGATTTTCGATTTTTCTCGGGCGCTTAATGAGAGATAATTAACTCTTTATCTCGAGAAAACGGCGAAGAAAGAACAGTAGCGGAAAACGACCGCTCTCGGCTTCCGTAACCTACATCAAACTTTAAGAAGAGAAAAGACACTCAGGATGATCCAATTCCGCATGTTTGGGATTAAAATCACCTTGTGGCAACATTTATAGATCGAAAAGAAAAAGGACCCAGTATGGAGTCCTGAGGAACACCAGAAAGTCTGAAACCACGGTCATGCTGTCGTTAATAATGCAACGATAATACTGCTGATTGTTGTTGTTTTTATGAACTTAGGTATCTTTCACATTTTCAGAAAAATGTAGAAATAAGAAGAAATGTATTTTTTCCCCTGTAATATGTTTCAAGTTGCTGATTTATTAGATTCAATCTGAACATTACAAACAATGTAACAACACTTAGAATTCCTCATAAAACGTGCACTCAAACAGCTGTTCATAGTGTTTTTACTTGGTTTGAGATGTTTCAGTTTCATCTGTGTTCAATTTTAACAATTAAAACACATCCAGAGTTATCACATTTTTGCACATTCTGGAATAAAATCACCTCGTGGTAACATCTGTAGACAGAAAAGTAAGAGGACCCAGTATGGAGCCCTGACGAACCAGTCGTGTCCTGTTTCTTCTCTCCTGCTGTCTGGGATCAGAAACTCTGTGTTCGTCTTTACCTGGATAATTTCCTGGACAGCAGCTTCAGCTCTCCGTCTGTCCCGGCAGGCCAGGATCACCTTGGCCCCCCTCCTGGCCAGGTCCATCGCTGTGGTCTTACCGATGCCGGTGTTCGCTCCTGGACAGACAAACACAGTTTTGCCTTCGGTCAGTCAGTCTGTCTCTGAGCTCTAGACTGAAATACAGACTTTTGGATGGATTTCCATGAAATTTATTAAACATTCATGGTTCCCAGAGGATAAATCTTGCCCATTGTGATGGTTTTGAATGTCATTTTTTTTGTGTGTCTTTTGAGGTTGTTTTTTAATCTCTTTTTGGTTATTTTGTCTCTTTGTGGTAGTTTTGTGTCTGTTTGAGGCTGTTTCATATCTTTGGAGTCGTATTGTGTCACTTTGTGGTTGTTTTATGTCTCTTTGGAGTCATTTTGTGTCTATCTGAGGTTGTTTTGTGTCTTTATGACCTTGTTTTGTATCTGGTCATGGTTGTCTTGTGTGGTTTTGTGGTCCTTTAGTGTGTCTGTGACGTTGTTTTGTGTTTGATTGCTTTGCATGTCTGATTTTGTGCCTCTTTGTTCATCAGAGTTTTTCATTTACTTCTTGAGGATTTCCTTGTATGGGTTTCTGTCACGTAAACAGTGTAGATGATTGATTGCTTTGGTCTTGCTTATGCTGGTGAAGAAGGCAGAACATATTTTCTACCTTCGACCTAAATATTACCTATTTTTTCATGGATTCAAATTAAATTTTACACAAAATGTTGAGACGATGAATCCTGCTAACTGTAATGATGCCCTGCCATTCCGTCCTGCGCCACCATGAGGTTGATAATTATGTTTCTCAATGAAACTGCTGAATGTGTTGTGATGAAATGTGGTGCAGACATTCATGTTCCTCCCAGGATGAACTGTTAGAACGATCTATGTGTCCGACACTTGCGAACCTGCAGAACTTTCATCAACCTCAGTCGGACTTTGATGCTAATATTTGCCCGTTAGCAGTAAACCTAATCTGTTTATTGAAGATGAAGGTGAAGCCTTAAACCTGCATTCTGTCCAACAGCCAGCAGATGGCGACTCCTCTGGTGGAACAAGGGAGTCTGACTGTACAGAGTAGATTCAGTGAACATTTTCCTCTTCAGTTTATGGTCTCAGTCAGTAGTTTCAAGTCTCCTTCAGTACAGCATGTTGTTCATTCAGTAATTTATCGTCCCTCTTGGAGTGAAACGTTCATTTCAGCACAGAGCAGGTGGTCTGGTTGCAGAGACTCCGCTCTGCACATGTGCAGCAGCTCCTCTGGCTGTAAACAGACTGTTCAAAGTGTCGACTCACCGGTGACGACGGCTGTTTTCCCGTGAAGCTTTGCAGCACTTTTACACCTGGGAAGCTTCAGAACAGTCATGTGCAGAAGGAAATACCCTCCGACTGACAGAGCTCCAAACAGCAGCAGCTGCAGCATTGTTCAGACAGCAGAGACTGAATCAGGAGCGTGTGCTGGTCAGCTGCTGTGGACGGTTGTGTAACAGTTGGATGGTATCAGCTGATCTACGCACTCAGACCTCAGAACCAGCCCCTCAAACTGCTGCCTTCAGACTCCGAACTCTGACCTGATTACTGCTGATTAGCAGCTGCTTGTCCACATTATCAGCCTGCTGCAGACAGACAGGATGCTGTCAGAGCTGGGAAGAGCTGCAGCGCCACCTGCTGGCTGACTGCTCCTAAAACTGTGGTTTTCACATTTCTTTGTTGTGGTTTTGTGTGTGTTTGAGTTTGTTTTGTGTCACTTTGTACGGTGGCCGAGAAGTGCAATAGAAATTTTCAACTGGCGAAACACTTTTACAAGTAAAATCAACTGGAAAGGGAACGTACCAACTCTAGGCCTGAACTGGAATAGGTAACAGGGAGCGGCCAATAAGAGCTGTTGCTGTCATTTATGGAGTTCATGGTGACCAAAGACAGACAGCGACCGAGTGATGGTTTGTCCGTTTTGTGGCACACACATGAGCCGATTAACGGTTTTGTTTTCCATGTGGTCGGTCTTAAGAATTTTTAAATGGTGCAGACCAGATGGAAGGACCAGACATGCTGCAGCAGTGCATCAGATATATTAGATATGATAGCAAACAACATTTTTAAAGCCCACGCTCTGGTGGTCTTCCAGTCACGTGGCTTATAAGCAGCCAAATCCTGCACTATTTTGGATCCATTTGTGACCTAAACACACTGTATGAATCTAGGAATGGTACTTTCAACAGGTTGGAACATGTATTTGCTGTTGGGAATGGAGAGTCATCCAGGGACTCTATTCGTGGCAGTGGTTCCAAGCCAGAAGGGGGGAGTGGAGTCAGCCCAGTTGCAAACATCAAAACATCCTCCACCAGGAACTCCAGAAATAACAACAACTCTTATTGGTTGCTCCCTGTTACCACTTCCGGTTCAGTCCCAGAGTTGGCACATTCCCTCTCCAGTTGATTTTACTTGTAAAAGTGTTTCACCACTTGTACATTTGTTTTGCACTCCCCAGCCACCGTAGCTTTGTTGTCAGTTTGTGTCACTTCATGCTAGTTTTGAGTTGCTTTGTGGCCATTTTGTGTCTTTTTGTTGTCGTTTTCTGTCTCTGACGTTGATTTAGCTTCTGTGAACTCTAGAATGTCTCAGCTACAAGAAAAACTCACCAAATGTTCTGCTGTTGACTGCAAGAGTGAACTCACGAGTCTTCATGCACTGCCAGCATCTGAGGAAGTGACCACCCAGTGGATTACTGGTCTATCAATGGCGGTGTCCCTCCAACAAGCAGAAGATCCTTAGTCTAAGCATGCTGTGCATCAAATGCAGCTAATTAATGAAGTAAGTGATGTGGGAGCATCACCACTTGGATGGGCAGCTGCATCCAGCAGGACTTCTTGGTCCTGAGGAGGGTGGTCCGTTCCGCTGAGCGGACCGTCAGATCCATCCTCCCCAACCAATAGGACATCTACACCCAACGGTGCAAGTCAAGGGCAGTGAAGATCCTGAAGAAGCAAGGCCATCCTGGAAACTCTCTCTTCTCCCTGCTGCTGTCAGGCCGACGCTATCGCTGCCTAAAGACTGGAACTGAGAGGATGAGGAAGAGTTTCTTCCCTCAGGCCGTCCGTTGGCTCACCTCTGAGCTTTAAAACCGGACTGTGCAATACACACAGGCACCTTTTACACATGCACCTTATGTACCATAACAGTATTGCATTTGCTTTATGTATTTGATTTATTTATGTGTTTGTATACATGTGTGTATATACATTAAGTATATATATTTCTTGAACACTTATTTTTGCTTTTTTTTTCTCTCTCTATTTTTCTTTTTATTGAAACTGGATGCTGGTACAAAACACATCTCACTGCACATTGTGCCGTGTATAAATGTGTATGTGACAAATAAAGCTTATCTTGAATTATCTTTGATGGCCTACCTACACATCAGAGCTCTGTGGAAGCTTACATTTAAACCATTGAGCAAGGCCTAGATGGGTTACTGAGTGTTCACGTCACCTGTTGTGCTGCAGGTCAACCTAAAACCAGCAGCTGTTTCCATCTGGCAGCTTCTCTCCTGCTCACATAAACTGAATGGACAAAATAAAACCGTGACTCAAACTCATTCATACGACATGTTAACCAGCTGCCACTTCATTTCCATCTGCTCCTCTGCAGCTAAAATATCGATTTTATAGCCATAATCATGGATGCAGAGAGTCTTCTTCCTGAAGGGGGCAGGTCAGAAACTGTTGAGAACAGAACTAAAGCCAGGAGTTCTACAGTCACGGTGAAACCAAGGTTCGATTTTCAGCCTGAAACACTCAAAGACACATCCTGGGACATGTGAGACTTTGACAATTTCCTGAAAAAGGGACAATATTGGACCTTTTTTTAAAAAATATTTTCAGTAAAAAGAGTTGAATACTCTTGAATGTCCTCATGATACACTCGATAAAACACTGGTGGTTGGAAGATGTTTTTATTCCCAACAAAACAGTGGAAGCCCTGACACACTTTACACTTCATGTCGTAGCTTTAAAGCTGCTGATAATCCTGAAAACTGCATTTGTTTGGTGCAGATGTTACTTTAGGTCAATGAGCTGCTTGATTCACATTGAAACAACATGTGAACATGTGACAAAGCTTTTCAGTTGAACTTCTTGATGAATGGTTAAAAACGGATTAAAACCAGATGTCTGGTTTCAGGCCTGGTTCTCCTACAGGCCACAGAAACTCTCGCTGAGCTCCCACAGCTTCTTGGCGGCGGCGTCATCCCTTGCCTTCGGCTCGATGCTGAGCACCGGGCCGCACTTAGTGAAGTAGCGTCCGCTGAGGTGCTCGATGCCTGGCTCCAGGGCACAGTAGAGGCTGGTCTGGGCTCCAGAGTCGGCATCCACAAAGAAGAGGAAGACCAGGGGCGCGATGAGGAGGCTCCACCAGCCAGAGCTCCGAAATATCGCTGTGGTGATGGGTCCTGGAGAGAGAAGAGGAAATGTTAAGTTACAGGTAGGAAGGCATCTCTTTCTGAGGGTTTTGTGTTTGTGATGTTTTTGTGTCTCTTTCTGGTCTGTTTTGACATTTCACTTGTCAACAATCTGCTGCTCATATTTCTTCCACCCCTATCGGCCACGTCAATCTTCTGATTGCATCATTGACTTCGGGATGCCAGTTTCACTTGCCTCTATCCTTCTACATCAGTAATCTCCTGCCTAAGTTTCTGGCACCAGGATACCAGTTTTCCTTTCCTCTGTTCTGTCATTTCAGCGATTGTACACTTCCATGACGGGCTCTGGGACACCAGTGTCTCACTGCTCCATAACTGCAGTAGAGCAACCACCTTCGTTGGGTGTTGAGGCACCAACCTATAAGGTAACTTCCTGTCCACAAGGCCGCTGCTTCATTTCTCACTTGCTCTAACTTGCATCATCTCATCTCATTGACGGTGGTCCTTTCTTATGAATTTACAGGTAGAAAGGTGTCTCTTTGTGGTCGGTTTCCATCTATTTAAGGGGGTCTTGCGTATCTTTGTAGTTGTTTCGCTTCTTTTTTTGGTAGTTTTGCATTTTGTTGTGCTCATTCTGTCTGTTTGAGGTTGTTTTGTGCCTCTTTGTGGTAGTTTTGTGTCTGCTTGTGGTCTTTTGTGTCTCTTTGAGGTTGTCTTTTGTCTATTTGTGGTCATATTTAATCTCTTTGGCTTCATTTTGAGTCTGCTTGTGGTCATTTTATGTCAAACTGTCACAAAAGTAACCTAGTAAGTTTGTCCATTGGCTTCCAAAGTAAAGATGGTGCAGATGATAGAGGTTACATGCAAACATCCGATGTGTAAGTCGACCACTGACCGGGATGGAGGCTGTAACAGGTGACGTCAGAGCCCTGCAGCCTCTTGCCGAGCTCGTAGGTGAACAGGATGTTGCACAGTTTGCTGTGGCAGTACTTCTGGAAGAGCTGGACGTAGCTGCTACCCAAAGCCAAATCTCTGTGGGTTGTCAGGCAGTTAAAATCCAGTTTGCCTAGCTTGTAGCCACTGGAGGAGACGTTCACCACACGGCTCGGCCCGCTGGCCTTCAGCCGGTCCAACAGCAACACTGTCAGCAGGAAGTGACCCAGGTGGTTGATGCCGAAGATCATCCCGAAGCCGTCTTCTGTCTTTCCATCAGCTATCAGACCTGAGGGCACCAGGAAAGATAAACTGACATGAAAATGCAACTTTCCTAACAGATCGAACCCCCCAGAAGAAATACAGATGTGAAACAACACATCATAAACCGAGCAAACAGATCTTCCCACCATTATTGTGAGAACAAAGCAGCATCACTGTATATTCCATCAGGAGTTCCGACCTGCGTTGTTGATGAGCAGATCCAACCTGGACTCGGACTTCAGGAAGTTATCGGCGAAGGAACGAACTGACTGCAGACTGGCCAGGTCGAGCTGCATGAAGATCACCTGCTGGTTCCCTGTTTCCTGATAAGGGTTACAATGCTGTAGTTAATGATGCAACACTTCATTGTTGTTGTTGTTGTTGTTGTTGTTGTTGTTTTTCTAAACTTAAGTATCTTTCACATTTTCAGAAAAAATGTAGAAATAAGAAGAAATGTATTTTTTTTCTCTAATTTGTTTTGATTTACTGATTTATCACTCTGAACATTACAAACAATCAGTTTCATCTGTGTTCAATTTTAACAATTAAAACACATCCAGAGTTATCACATTTTTGCACATTCTGGAATAAAATCACCTCGTGGTAACACCTGTAGACAGAAAAGTAAGAGGACCCAGTATGGAGCCCTGACGAACCAGTCGTGTCCTGTTTCTTCTCTCCTGCTGTCTGGGATCAGAAACTCTGTGTTCGTCTTTACCTGGATAATTTCCTGGACGGCAGCTTCAGCTCTCCGTCTGTCCCGGCAGGCCAGGATCACCTTGGCCCCCCTCCTGGCCAGGTCCATCGCTGTGGTCTTACCGATGCCGGTGTTCGCTCCTGGACAGACAAACACAGTTTTGCCTTCGGTCAGTCAGTCTGTCTCTGAGCTCTAGACTGAAACACAGACTTTTGGAGGGATTTCCATGAAATTTTATACAAAACATTCAGAGTTTTTTTTTTTTTTTTTTAATCTCTTTGTGGTCATTTTGCATGTGTTTGAGGTTGACTTATTTTGCTTCTGTTTGTATGGGTTTTGTGTCTTTTTGTAGTCGGTTTGCGTTGCTTCCTGGTCCTTTTATTGCCTCTCAAACAGACCGTTTACAGTGTCAGTCTGTGGCTGTCGACTCACCGGTGACGACGGCTGTTTTCCCGTGAAGCTTTGCAGCACTTTTACATCTGGGAAGTTTCAGAACAGTCATGTGCAGAAGGAAATATCCTCCGACCGACAGAGCTCCAAACAGCAGCAGCAGCAGCATTGTTCACTCTGCAGACGGAAAGAAGGAATCCTGCTTATCAACTGCTCTCTGCTGCAAATGTTGTGAAACTTGTTGGACTGGAGCTCCTCCTCTGAGCTCCTCCTCACACTAGTCATCCTTCAAACTCTGATCAGATCACAGTTTACAGGCTGAACGCAGAGCAGCAGGAGTTAGTTTAGTCTGTTTGGTGTAAAAGCTAAACTAGAAAACTGTGACAGCTGCTGCATTGCACATGATCCGCAATGTTCAGACAGACAGGACACCGTTTTAAAAGTTTACAGAGCTGCAGCGCCTCCTGCTGGTCAAGCTGTTGTCCTCAGATGACCTTTGTGAACCTACCAGGATCTGCTGCAAACACCTTGTTTTTAAAGAATTTCTGAAATAACACATGTAGGATGAAGGCATTTTGATAAAATATCACAATTTGAAGCTCAGATATTTTTTTTTGGATAAAACGTGCAAACAACTGTTCATAGTGTTTTTACTTGGTTGTAGGTGTTTCACTTACATCTGTGTTCAATTGTAACACTTAAAAACATCCAGAATTATCCAATGTTCACATTTGGGAATAAAATCACCTCGTGGTAATATCTGTAGACGGAAAAGTAAGAGGACCCAGTATGGAGTCCTGAGGAACACCAGAAAGTCTGGAACCAGGCGTGTCCTGTTTCTTCTCTCCTGCAAGGAAAAAAAAGCACTTTTCAGGTTTTTTTTTTTTTTTTTGGTTCAGAGGTTTAAAGACATACAAAATCCAGACAGTCAGAATATTAAAGATGTTTTCAAAATATTTTATTTATTTTCTCAGTAAACTTTGTCACGTTTTGCACTTGACATAAAGTAATGTGAAACCCAACCGCCATGAAAGACAAAAAAACACACAAATGTCACAAATCCTACTTGGACCAAATAATTCACATTCAGATTTTTATGCTAAACAAAATCGATTTTGAATAAAAACTTTCTGCAGCAGGATGCAGAAATCAGAGAAATGAAGCATGAAAAACAAGTTCAATAATAATCCATAAAAACGAGACATACTTCAGACAACTACAGATCCCATGAGGCTTTGGGAGCGCTGTGACACTTCCTGTTTTCTTCCCGTTCAAAGAAAATCTAAAACATAGAAACACGCTGCCAAACATCACTGTTGTAATATTTGTCATTTATTTACCATTTTTATTTTATTTATTACATCTACTTCAGATTCATACTCTAGTATTTTCCTGCTTTCTGTTCAGACTGACTGAACTTCACTCAACGTCAACTTACTAATTTCCTATGCAGGCCTCACCCTGTGGTCTTCCTCAATGAGGAAACTCTGAATGAGCTTTAAAAGCAAACCAACAGAATTTCATTTAAGTGGAGCTACACAAAAGCTGTCTGCAGAGGGGGACCATGAGATGCAGTTGAAAGCTCTGGATAAAGCCAGTAAAGGCACCTTCAGATTGCAGGAACAAAGTTCAATGTGGTTGAAAGCTCAGGCAGAAGCGAGTAAGTGCACAAAATGTTTAAAGCACACATAAACACAACAACAAGGCAAAATGTCAAACTTAAGGTTCATTTTGCAGCTTTTTTTCCCTGGTATTTTCAACCGAACCTCATGGTCCTCCTTAACACGTACATTTTTCTACATTTCATCTTAACAGTGCTCTTACTGACTTTTTAAACAGCTTTCAACCTCATCTCATGGTCCTCTTCATGAGAGAAAATTAGGTCAAAATTAATTTAAACATGTTTCTCTGCTAAGGTTTGTATAGCAGGTTTTCCCGGAGCTTTCGGTTGCACCACATGGTCCTCCTCTGCAGCTGGAATCAGCTTAAATCTGAAAACAGATGAAGGGGAAAACTCCATCCTCTGAGGAGGACGTGAGATGTGGTCGGAAGCTCTGGAAAACACCGGTAAGAGTTTGAACGCTGATGAATACCAGCTGAAAGGTCCAGAAGCTCCACGAAGCAAACCTTTCCATAGAGACATACCTAAATTAGTTTAATCAGCTGGGGTGTGGGTGAAAGCTCTGGAACAACGCAGTAAGCAGGTCCTTTAGTTGATGTGTTGATTTTACAGGAACTTTTGTGTTTGTTTTGGTGCTGTGAGCTCTGAAACTTTATTTTCTTGTGATTTAAAGAATGAAAACATGAGATGTGGTTGAAACGTTGAGAAGCAGTCAGTCAGACCGTTTAACAGATGTCTCAGACTTCAGACAGGTTCATCTGCATGAAGGCATCCACCTGTTCACGTGTTTATTTTCTGATTTAAAGTCTTAAAGTTCAGGCAGGTGCAGCACTTGTTGACCTGGAGGCACTGTGGAGCTGCAGTCTTTGGTCTGACCCGGCTCGGTTCTGGTCAGTTCTTCCAGAAGGTCGGGTTTTGTGCCATCCTCCTCTGGAAGTTCTCGTACCACTTGAGGATGCAGCTGGACGGGATGAAGGTCTCCGCAGGGTTTGGCGCCATCTGCGCCTGCGACACGGCGAACGACGAGGCGAAGTTGTAGAAGTTGTCCAGCATCTTCTGGGTGAACTGCAGGAAGGAGTCCACGGTGGACACGGCGGCGCTGCTCACCGGGGTCTGCTGGGCCAGCTGCTCCACGGCCTCCACCGACACGCCGACCTGGGCCACGGAGGGCGACCCGGAGGAGGAGGCGCCGAACGGGTGCGCCCCGCCTTCCCCGGCCTTCAGCCCGGAGATCTTGAAGATGGCGCTCGGCTTGTCGTTGGTGATGAAGCCGAGCAGCTGCCACACCGGGCCGCCGCTCGCCGAGTCCGGGATGGAGAAGTAGACGGCGCCGCCCATCCCGGCGGGGAACGGCACGGTGCCCAGCATGAACACCACCACGTGGTTCACGTTCTCGTAGTCCGGCAGGTTGAACACGAACTTGTCCGAGGCGACCTGCACGGCGTCGGTCTGCACCAACCGGCCGGCGACCAGGCAGCCGAACATCCCGCTGAGCGCCGCTTAGCCCTTAGCTCCGTGTTAGCCCCAATGTAAACAGACTGTAAAGTTAGCTCAGCTGCTAGTCAGCCGTTAGCTCATGTAAGCCGGTCCAGGGTAGACAGTCAGTGAAGTTAGCTCAGCTGTTAGTTAGCCGCTAGCCACAGTGTCAAGACTCTGGGTAGTTAAATTAGCCTGCTAGCTGGATGGAATCCGACCTGTGGGGTTCACGGAAGCCTCCACGGAGCGACTTTATCCGGTAAAAAAAAACAAAAAAAAAACAAAACAAAAACGAGAAACGTCTAAACGTGAACACGGAGCAGCTGCTCCGAACAGCTACAAAGTTCTGGCACCGAACATGAAGCAGCTGCTCCGGCTGTTAGAAAGTTCTGGTACAGTCCGTCATGTCGACCCTGCCCACCCCAATCCGCTGCTCGGAGATCGACCGCTCCGCCTGGAGAGCCTCTGGGAGATTTGAACCCTTTATGCGGCCTGACAGGCAAACAGCTCCCGGTGTGTTTCCAGCAGAGCGATCCGGGTCTGAATTTACCTTCAGGACTTTTTACTGTTGTTTTCCAGATAAACACAAACACGATGGTTTTGACTAGATTTATTTATTTATTTTTGTATTGTTTTGCTTGTATGTGTTTGTGTGACGTCACAGAACCAACAACCCTGTTTATATGAATTGTCACTCATTCCATCTAATTTTACAAATATATATATATTACAAATAGAGAAACATCTGTAAAATAAAGGAAGAGTCTTGTAATCCTCAGGTTGTCCAACAGTATGTACAGTGAACAGGACATTTAGTCTGTAGCTCCTATTTAACAAATAAAAGGGAGGGCAAACACTTTAAATTTCCTGCATTCTGGTGAATTGTTATGCACTCATTTGTTTCTGTTTTGCATCAATTCTTAGTGAAAACAATTTTATGTAAAAAAACACATTGAAAAACAATAATCATTAACATTAAAATAAAGGTGCTTTCTATAGCAGTGTTCCTGCTGAAATCTACGCCTGTAACCTAATGCTAAATCACTTCAAGTATAAAATTAAAATAAACTTAAAATAATTATGCAAAATAGTCTGACAACACTGCAAAAGTATTTATCGATTTGATTTAAAGTAACTGCAGCTGTCTAACGGGGCCTTTCTGCCTGACAGGCCACACACTGGGTAAAAACAACGTGGGTGCTTTTGTTGTTGTCCTGCGGATGTTCGATTGTTCATAAATCTACCTTTTTTATTTATTGTTTTTATTTAATTTTTTTTTACGACTGTAAAAATAGAAGAAACTCCCGCTATCTCCAAAATGGTTTGCAGAAGTTATCATGACAATAAACAAGATCAAGTCAAAACAGAAAGCCAACAGGCAGAAAATACAACGTTCAAGGTGTCAGTGGAAGTTAACATGTCATTCAGGAATGCTAACTTTAAATTTAAACCTGCTTTTGTGTAATATTGGGAATTTGTGACCTGGATGCTTTAAAATGTTTACTTTGACAGATTGAATGAATATATTGTTATATTGCTATTTGAAATAAAAATCTGCTTGACTTAGTCCCTGCCTTCATATCTCTAGATCCTGTTGATGTTGAAAGCTAAACGAATAACCTATATTATTATCATTATTCTGCTCAGTCTAAGTTAACATTAAATTACTGGTCTGATTAAAATGTTGACGTGGTTATGAATTTTATTTTGAAGAAGACAAACCGGATGCTTCCTTTTTGTGTTACCGCCGACTTGATTCTCAGTGAACTAGCGGCTCAGTTGGTTTCTGCGGTTCTGTTGTGTTTTTATGACAGTCATTATTGTCAACATTATTATCCTGTAACATTAATCGAATCATTAAGTGGCTAAAGTGCATGTATTGCCTTCAACTATGGATGACGTTTTAGCTTTATTGTGAAACCTGTGACCGGATGTGTGTCTGTACGTTGCCGCCGACTTGCTTCTCTGGACACCAGCGGTTCGGTTCGGTCTCTGCGGCTCCGCTGTGTGTTTGCGGACATTTAGACGCTGAGAACCGCCTGAAATAAACTTTTTCCTCGTGTGTTCGTGGCGGGACGTTTCGCTGCGCGGATTTCCGACTCTTACCGGAGACTAGCAGGTAAACGGGACCGTTTTTTGTGCCGGTTTGTGTGTAAACTTTTGCCCGCTAGCTAGCCGGGTTAGCCTCCCGATGCTAGCGGCGGAGCCTGTTAGCCGCAGTTCGGGCTTTAAACCGGAACCGAGGAGCTGCTTTATGGACTTTATTTCTTCATGTGGAGACGCTGCAGAGTCTTCAGCTCATATCAGAAGCTGTTAGCCCACTTTGGTTCCGTTTGTTGACTCTGTTTGGGTTTGTTTCTGGAACCGAGCGACTTTTGGAGGCTGATTAAAGCCGTTAGCGGCACAGATTCACTTCATAATCAGTCTGTAAGTCTGAATTAAAGCTGTCAGGTCAGGCTTTGGGCCGCTGGTTCTGTTAAACCGAGCTCAGGACTTGCTCTAGCTGAAGTTTGGATTCATGTCACTGCTTTAACTTGATGATAACTGGGCTGTAATATATCCTTTACATGAATATAGCTGCTCCTCCGTTACAACCAGTCCAGCTTCATTCACCAGTCTTACCTTTAATAACCAGCTCTCCTCCTATGATGCGGGTTTCACCTGCATGGGCTGATGACAGCCTCTACATGAAGATGGACATGTGATTATCATGCATCAGTTCATTTAGTTATATTTTACAGACTAGAGCCCATGGCATTAATACACAGGAGAGAATGTCTTTGTTTTTGCATATAAAACACATCCCTCAGTCATGTTAATTACAGTCTAAACAGACAGAACAAATCAATAATGTTTCCGGGTTAGTTCTTGACATCAGATGGATTCTGTTTATTCAGACATGATGAGTGTTTGATGGATGGACGTTAAGCTGTGTGTTGCAGCTCTAACATGCAGCGCGTAATTAGATTTCATGTTAAACAAGGATTCTGTTCTTCAAGTTCCTGTGAGACTTTATTTATGTCTTCCAGTGAAATATTGAGACCCGAGGCTCGTGTAAATGGAAATAATCAGGATATCCTGCACGTCATTTTGACATAATTTAATCTTGACAGATGTGGGACGTTTGGAAAACTTGGCGTCACAACTAGAAGTTAAAGTAAATGGAGCAAAACAATGAAACCAGAGCTGGTCACTGATCAACGTGATGATAATCAGTTATTTAGTTTGAGTCTGAATTCTGCAGCTTCTTTAATGTGTGTATTTTCTGGTTTCTTCTCTATGACAGTAAACCGAAGATCTTTGGACAAAACGAGACATTCGAGGAAACAATGATCCACATTTTTCACCATTTTCTGGCATTTCAGAGACCAAACAACTGATCGATTCATCCAGAAAATGATTGACAAAAACATTGACGAGGAAAATAACCTTCAGCTGCAGCCTTTTTTTTTTTCTTTTTAATATTTTATTTAGATTCTGCGTGGAGTTTGCATGTTCTCCCCGTGTAGCGTGGGTTCTCTCCGGGTTCTCCGTCTTCCTCCCACACAGTCCAAAAACATGTTGAGATTAATTGGTGATTCTAAATTGTGGTGTGAATGTGAGTGTGCTTGGTTGTCTGTCTCTAAGTGTAGCCCTGTGATGGACTGGCGACCTGTCCAGGGTGTCCCCTGCCTTCGCCCTAAGCTGGCTGGGATAGACTCCAGCCCCCCCGCGACCCTAATGAGGATTAAGCGGTGTATAGATAATGGATGGATGGATATTTAGATTTATTTCCAATATAATCAAACAGACAGCAGGCACAAGGACAAGAGGACCTGATGGAGCTTCAGAATATGTAAAAGAACAACAGCCAGAGGGGTCATGCAGTTTAAAGCAGAGAGATGTCCGTAAAATTTAAAGAAAAACAGCCCCTCATCCATGAGGTCCTGAATAAGAAGCAAAATTAGAGGAATAAAACAGAAAAAAAACCAGAACACATCAGCTGCAGCCTTTGACTGACCCTCCACCAAACCAGACTCCATTCAAAAAAGCTCCAATTTAAAGCCAGACAGATGAATTAGTCCAGTTGTTTTTTTAGCTCTGATTTTGTCGCCTCCTGCAGATTTCAGATCAGTTGTTATGCGACATTCATTTGGAGGTTTTAGTAGTTTTGACATTTTCTGGCATTTTAGAGACCAAACAACTGATCAATTCATCCAGAAAATAATCGACAGTTATTGACAAATGTTGTGAAATTGTCCGTTTTTCTGTGTGAATCTTTTGGTTTTCTGAGCGGATTCGGCCTTTAAACGTTGGCTCTGTGGGTTGTTTTCGTCTCGGCCGATTGTGAGGCTGTGTTAGTGTTTGTGTGTCTGCACTGAGGATGTTTTTTCCTCCGTTCAGGCCGTCTAAAGCAGCGTTTTGTGTCTTTCTTCAGGACAGCCGGTTATTTTTAGAGCCTTCCTAAGTGTTTTAACTGAGGAGCTGCGCTGCTGAATCATTCATGAGCTGCTCTCTCGCCGCCTCTCTGCGTCTCTCATATACGTGTCCTGCCAGCGTCTGTTCTTTCCTCTCTGGTTCCGGTCCGATCCGCTCGGTTAGCTCTCAAAGGCTCCAGAAACACTGGAGTCCCTCAGAGGAGCTCGGATCCTTTATCGGCTGCTGGAACGGGTCGTTGTGTTCAGCGTTTGTCCTCGAGGTCAACGTTTTCCCACAAAAACACCCCACAAGGTTTCCTTCAGAGATGCAGGAGGATTAAATAAACTCATTAGGTGAAGAAAAAACTGTGTTATCCAGAAAGTATCGCACATGTCTGAAGCTGAGGAGGTCTGTGGGCTCACGTAGAGGCTCTCAGATCAGCTGTTAAACAATCTGAACTAAAGTTATGGTTTCTAGCTGCAGTTAGAAATCCTGAAAGTGTGATCCTCACTACATCCACTCCTAACAGCACGGATTACTGTCACTGCTGATCACTCTGTGGATGAGTTCCTGTTTTGTCTCTCAAATGTCCAAAATAGTGAAAAATGTCGAACTACTGATTCCTAAAGCGAAAGATCTTTTCTTTTTCCTGTAACCGATCAGAAAGAAATTCATCCTGATTACTAAAATCTGCAGGAGGCGACCAAACCGGAGCTAGAAAATCAGTGTTCATTCATCTGTCTGGCTATAATTAGAATTAAAATGATCAGTTAGCTTCTGCAGCTAACAGAACGCAGATTTTTATTACAGAGAATCATCAATAAATAACATTAAGATGAGCTTTATTGATCCCTCACCGGGGAAATGTACAGCAGCTGAATACAAATTAAACACGAAGGAAGTAGGACAAGAATCACAAAAGCACAGTAAGGCTCAAAACATAAAGGAAATGTTCAGATGTGTGACAGCTACAGACCAGCGTTAACACGACAGTATGTCACATGAAGAGCTGCAGGAGAACAGTTTTACGTTTAGGTGTCGGTCTGGAGGAGCAGTTTTGTTTTGTGTTGCGTGAATTTGCTGCACTTGGACGCTGCACGAAGACAAAACGGTGCTGAAAAGATGCTGCGTTGGAGAGCTGTGGGGTTTAGAGCTAACGTCGCTTTGGTTTGTCCAGAAACATTTCCACGCCTCCTTCGTTATGGGACAGCGTCAGACCTGAACGTTCATGTTTAAATGAGCTTCAGAGCTCCAATGTGCAGCTTTATGTTAGAAGTAAGCATTAAGAGTCACTGAGTGGGGAAAAAAGTCATATTAACTTGGTCCTGATCTGCTACTCGGTCTGTTTACGCTGCAGCTAATAGTTCAGTCACATTAACTCACTTTGATTTGTCCGTTATTAAAGTGACTTCCTGCCTTACGAGTCAGTGTCAGACCTAAATGACCTTCATTACAACGTCATGTTTAAATAGATGAAGTTTAACAGCTTCAACAGGCAGCTATTGGTTATCAATAATCAGCTGCATTGATCAGTAAAATAAATAAATAAATAAACACATTTAACAGTTTTCTACCTGCATCATTTGCAGTAGCAGCGCTTCTCTAAATGTTTATATTCGTCATCACTTTACATTAAAACATCCTGTTGACTGAAGAAGGCGCCACACGATTGGTCCATTTGTGCAGAAGAAGAGGCACATGACAAGTCAGATGTCCTCTTTGATGTACTGAAGGTTAATAACGAATGCTGATAAACTCCATCTGATGCTCATCATCTCTGCCTCAGGATTCAGGTTTTGTTTAGCCGGCTTACGCAGACAAAGTCTGACTCTGCTGGACAGACGGCCTGAGCTCTTGTGTTTGTGTTCTCAGGGTTTGGGAGGATGTCGCAGCAGGACGGGAGGTTTCTGTGCAACTGAAGCTGAGGAGGAAGTCTGCCGATGGATCGCGCTCACAGCCTCCTCCTGAACGAGGAGGCGCTCGGCCAGATCGGAGAGCACCAGCGGGCCGAGTTCGTCTTCGAATGGCTGAACCACCTGAAGAAGCTGCTGCCGGCGGCTGAGCGGGTGAGACGGTCATCAACAGCATCATAACGTGGGACGTAAACCGTGAACAAAGCTCTGACAATCATCGTGATGGCTCTCCTTTCAGGCCGACGTCAAACAGAACCAGCGGCGGCTCGTCGACCAGCTGTCGGGTGTTCTGATTGGCTCCCCCGGCCCGCCGACCCGCTGGCTGCTGGCCCACTGCCTGGCCCTGCTGTACCGGCTGGGAGACCCCGTACCCTCCAGTTTGATGGTGGAGAGGTGCAATGACATCATCCGCAGCAAAGACGACTCGCCGTCCGGCCTCCCGACACGACTGTAAGTCAGGATGCATTCAGGGCCGCGGGGAGGGTGGGAAAACAGAGGATTTAGTCATTCAGACGAGCCAAAATGAGCGTGAACAACAGAGCTGCTGTCAGTTTGTGTTTCCTGCTGGTGAACCAGATGTTTGTTCAGATCACAGAGTTGGTTCACGTGGTGTGTGATGGGATGTTTGCGTGTTTCAGGGCGGCCATTGCGTGTCTCGGCGCTCTGTACGAGCAGCTCGGCAGGATGCTCGCCGGCTCCTTCAAAGACACGTTCTCCAATCTGCTGAAGGCCATGAAGAGCGCAGAGGTTTGTATGGTCAGCTCATAAAGGTCACAGAGAGAGAATCAGCTGGTTCAGAGGACTGAGTGAGGCCTCGTCCACACGTAGCAGGGTTTTATAAATATCATCCACATCGTAGAAAGATATCTTGGTTTTGTGAGACACCCTGCTACGTGTGGACGAGGCCTGAGCTCCGTCTGAGAGTTGGTTTCCTCCTCCTCAGTCTCAGGGTCGCTACGAGATCATGCTGAGCATCGAGAAGATCCTGAGAGGGTTAGGCGTCAGCGCCGTGTCCAGCCACCGCGACATCTACAAGGCGGCCAGGACGTGTCTGACAGACCGCTCCATGGCCGTACGCTGTGCCGCCGCAAAGGTAATCAGATTACTTCACTTTAAAAATCAGCCTGCAGATGTTTCATCCAGCTCCGTCTGTGCCGAGTTTCTTGTTTTCTTGTCACTTTTAGTCGCTGCATGTTTTTTTTCCTCCTGTGTTACTTTCTGATTGTTGCGTTATGACGTCAGTGGTTTTTGGTTCCAGTCGCTGGTCGACAGCGCCACAGGTTTAAAGACTAACGACTGCAGCAAAGTGCGTCTTGGTTCAGGGTGAACGTTTCCACAGACTAAAGGCTTCTGCAGCATGAGAGAACCTCACCTTATCTCAGAGCTAACATTAGGTTTGTGCTTCGAGCAGAGCCTGAATGTTGAAGCTTCCAGTAACTTCTGAACTGCATTTCATACAGCTGCTCTCACAGTAAAGTTGTTTTCATTTACAGACGTTTGTGTTGTCAGACAGCACGATGAAACACGTTAGCCAAACTGCTGCTCTGGAACTAAAACCCTGGTTTTTCATGTCATCTGACAAACTCGTCAAACGTGAAACTGGAGATATTTTTATAAACTTCAGAGCTGTGACTGAAGTCAGAGCTGCTCTTTTTCAGGTTTAGGGCTTTGTTGAAAACTTGGATTTCTTTTGGAGTTACTCTACTGATGTAAACTATAATCCCTCTGGGTTTTTTTGAGATTTTTGTGGCCTTTTTGCCTTTATTTGATAGGAAAGTCGAGAGAGAGAGGACAGTGGGGGAAGGACCTGCAAGAAAGAGCCATGAGCGGGACTCGAACCCACGACCTCTGTGTCGGGGACTGTAGCCCCTGAACATGGGACCAGTTGAGCTATAGTGGCACCCCTTAATCCCTCTGTTTTATAAATTTTTCCAGTTTTGCACGTTAAAACTTTAGTTTCCATTTCATTTTGTGCTGCTGTAAACAATCACATGAACTTAAATTAAAGGTTCATTTTGTTTTTTTTGAAGACAAGTAGTTGTTTAGCTTCACTGATTAATGAATATAATCATCCCCGTTGCTGGCAGCATGTTCACTATCATGCTCACTGGGTACCTATTTAATTATCTTATTTATATTTCATATTGTATATTTAGTTTTGTGTTTTGTGTGTACCTTCCGTGTCGGGTGTCTTGTGGGGTTGTCTGTGTTTTTTTTTTTTTTTACTGTAGCTGCTGTAATTTCCTGTAAAAGGATCAATACAGTAATTGTCCCGTCATGTGTCTGCTCCTGTCAGTGTCTGCTGGAGCTGCAGCGGGAGGCCGTGTTCCTGTGGACCAGCGAGCTGGAGAACGTGGCCACGCTGTGCTTCAGAGCCTTCGAAGGTTCTAACTACAACGTCAGAGTTTCTGTCGCCAAGCTGCTGGGAACTCTGCTGGCTGCAGCCGTGGAGCCGCGACCGTCCGCCGGTACGGAACCACAACGGGTTTAGATATAGAGCATACCTGTATTTATTTTATTTTTTAATTCTTAGAAAGGCGTCACTGTCGCTGTTCTTCAGGAACCCAGTCACACAGATGGAACTCGGCAGCCCGTTAACCAGTTAACTAACCAACCTGACCACCTTTAGCATCTGATTTTTATTCGTTCAACACAAAAGTCCAACATTTTGACACAGCTTTTATCTGAAAATATGACTTTTTGTTTAGTTTTTAGTCGATTTTGTTTTCACTGTGAATTCATGTTTTCCATCGTAGCTGCTTTTCACGTCAGTTTGTTTCTGATTTAACAAATAATATCGATTAATTCAGTTCATCAGGACCAACAGCTGCACTGCTGGGTGTCAATAGTCAGGACAGATGTTGAGCCCCGGCGCTAACATGCACATTAATTAGTTTAATTAATTAATTAGTTTCATTTTTTAAGATGAGACATGTAGAATAAAGTGACTTTGATTTAATATCACAGTTTAAAGCTTCGATTTGGTTAATTTTCCTGATGAAATGGCTCCTTAATATGGAGTAGTGAGAGCGCCAAATTAAAAAATAAATCATAAAGAAAAGAATATTAAAATAAGAGTGGAAATAAAAAGAAGAATAAATAAAATAAAAAAATAAATAGTGTGGCAATATAAAGAAATATTAATCAAAGATGAATCCATAAAAGAAAAGGCTAATAAAAGTAGAAAGACAAATAAATAAAATAATGAAAATAATTGATTTTTATTTGTTTTAATTTTTAATTTTAAATTTAAATTTTTTTTAAATCGTTGTTTATTATACCTTAAACATGATCCAGAAAAATATGAAGACAAATAAATAAAATAATGATTATTTGTTTTCAATTTTTTACAATTTATTTTCTACTTTTTAAAAATTATTTTATTTTATATATATATATTTTTTTAAATTATACCTTAAAGATGATACATTCATTGGAAAGTCCAAAACCCAGCAAGTTTTGGAGCTCAGAGATTTAAAGAATAAAGATTAAAATTAACTTCTAAATGGAAATGTAGTGATGTTTGTGTGTAAAATATGTACCAACAGATATAAATCCAGTCACGCAGCCTGATTCCATCCTTGTTGTTTCCCAGCAGCCCCCAGGCAGGGCGTGAAGGGGCGGAGCTCCCTGGAGGAAGTGATGGACCTGCTGTCGGCGGGTTTCCTGCGAGGAGGCGGCGGTTTCCTCCGAACCAGCGGCGACATGCTGAAGGGGACGAGCTCCGTCAGCAAGGACGTCCGCATCGGAGTCACACAGGTGAGTCGTCAGCAAGTTATCGGCCGATGAAGATGACGTTTGATGACACTGTTCCAACAAACCGCTGATTCACAGAGACTCAGTGACGACGTGTTCAGCCTCGGTCCACCAAACACTCAGCAGATTGTTAGTGGGGTGCAGCAGACCTTTCTACACCACAGAATGACTTGTGTAAAACAAACCAGCTGCTCTGTATGTGACCCGTCCGTTCGTCTCGTCAGGCCTGTGTGGTTTTTGTCTCCACCCTCGGCGGCTCCTGGCTGGAGGCCAACTTCCCGGCCTTCCTGTCGCTGCTGATGGAGCTGGCGTCCCACGGCCGGGCGACCCAGACGCCGGTGGACGCCGCCGTGACCCGGCGCTGCGTGTCCTTCATCCTGAGGAGCACCCTGGGCTCTCTGCTGGGGGAGAAGGCTCAGACCAATGCCGCCAAGCAGCTCTGTGTCGTCGTGGCGACGCAGAAACGAGCCATCGGTGAGCTGAGAAACACAATGAACTGAGTAGATAGATCACAGAAGGTTCTGTCTACAAGTACAGAAACAACACGAGACTTAACATCACCAAGCTGTAAAAATACAAACAGGTTCAGCAGCGTCTCAGGTGTTAATATCCACAAGATAATCTTTGTTTGCTTGTTTTCTACATTGATAAAATCCAAAATTTTGGCCAGACAAAGCCAGACTTTGGGTTAGCTTCGGACCTCCAGGACTATTTTTATTATTTCATCTGCTGTTTTAACGATGAAAATACCGACTGGTTTCAGCCTTACATGTCGTTATTATGGAATAACGTCTGTTCAGGACGAAACAGCATGAAGCGTCTCTGTCTGTTTGTGTTCAGACGCAGCTTTGAGCGACGGAAACGTGGAAACCAGAGTTTCATCTGCAGACGTCTCGGCCAGTCAGCACATGTTGGTCTGCTGCCTGCTGGAACTGGGAGCACTGGTCCAGGGACTGGGATCCACGGCCGCCCCCCTCCTCACAGACACCGCCACAGGTCTGATGCTCACGCAGCTCGTTGTGTAGTTTAGGACTCGTTTAGCTGTTTCTATATGGATGTGAAGCAAATGGAAAGTACGCTTATGAAATGAAATGAAAAGAAAACGTGAATTATTCTTGGTTCCATGAGCTGCGTCAGAGAGAATAAACATGAATCTGTGTCGTGTTGTCAGAAGGTGTCTGTGAAGATCCTCCGTCCTCCAGGTCATGGTTGTTCTGGTAGATAAATCGTTTAATTGCTTGAGTTCCTTGAAGACGTTCCACCTCTCATCCAAGAGGCTTCATCAGCTCTGACTGACTAGTTGGGAGTTCCACATACTGATATCCTGAAGGAGACATTAACACCTGAGTCTGGGTTTCAATTAGGGGTTTGTTGCTCCTCTCCCTCGTTATGCGAGTCGTTAGCGCTCCCCCTGACACAACGGGGTTCGTTAGGGTCTGCTGGATCTCAGGAAGAGGAACCCACATTCACACCGAGCCACAAAAGACCCGAAGCCTCTTGGATGAGAGGTGACACATCTTCAAGCAAGTCCAGTTGTTACGATTGAACTAAGAGAGTGTTGTCAGAAGGTGGTGCTGTGGGCTGCATTAATGGTACCAAGCAGGGTAGCAGAAGACGGAAGCTAAACTAGACCCAGCTCCCTGTCAAAAACCTCCAATGTGATTCAGTTACTTGGAGAAAAAAACAAAATTTAAAGAAAAGAACCAATAAAAGATGTAAAACGAAGCATCACAGTAGAGACAAATTCAAGCAGGAACATAAAATCTAAACATCACCTGGTTCTGACTCCCTGCAGCCCTCCTGGACTCAGTGGTCTCCGTCCTGCTCCACCCCGTCGCCTCGGCCCGACTCGCTGCCGCCTGGTGCCTCCGCTGCGTCGTCATGGCGATGCCGTCCCAGTGCTCCCCGCTGCTGGACCGCTGCGCCGAGCGACTGGTGTCGCTGAAGTCTTCCCCCGAAGCCGTGGCCGGGTACGGAGCCGCCGTCGCCGCACTGGTGGCCGCGGTGCAGCACTGCCCGCTGGGGATACCGCACACCAAGGGCAAGGTGGGAAACACGAGATCTTACACAAGAGTCGTCACGGCTCCTGGTTCTGTTGGGTATAAGGTCAACTTAGATCATTAAACAGTTAACCAAACCAGTACGTCTTTACAAATAAACTCTTTCATGACAAATAGATGGATTTAACATTCGGTTAGTTGGTTTAGGAGACGGGTCGGTTTGTCAAACAGCTCATCATCAAACTCGGCTTTAAATCCACAACTCGCTAAAATGTCGTTCTGCAAACCGTGTCCAACTCATCTGGAGCAACAGCTGGAGTATGATGTCTCCATGGTTATTAGAAAAAAGGACAATTCATGACCAAAATCTTGAAAAACTGTCTGCAGAGTCCCCACATCTCAGTTATCTCTGTGCACTTTGGTTTTCAGGCTTTTCTGGTGAGCTTTCAAGGTGCGCTCACAGCCAAAGCTCTTCCCACGGGTTGGACCGGCGGCCAAAAAGTAAACCTAATACCTAAAATCAGACAAAACGAACCTAGTCACGCTATCCTGGTTCTGTTGCTGAACTCGTGCTTTTGTCCGTTTGTTTAAGTGTCCGGACTTCACTTTGATATCGTCGTTAGTGTTTGATTCAGTTAGTTTTCTGTTGTCAGGAGTTTTTTTTTCACGATTTTCCAATTTGGTGGATGCAAAACATGTAAAAATAACTAGAATCTAGAAAAAATGTCCAGAAAAGGTGAAATAAATCAAGAGATTGTCCCAAAAAATGCCATAAATGGTCCAAAATGTCAGCAAAGTAGTCAGAAAATATGTCACAAAAATGCTTTGTTCAACGGTAGAGAAGAGTTACTAAAAGAAAAACGTACATCACTGCAGATAACGTGACACAAAACGTTTGGTCGTGCTTTTGTATCGTCACGTCTTTCAGTTTAAGAGCTGATTCTTATTATTTTCCTCCCTCAGTGGTCGTCGTAGCTCCCTGTTCTGTCACTAAACTCCTGCTTTTATGTGTTTTTGTTACGCTTTTGTTTTCGTTCGTGTTTGTTTCAGTTCATTTTGTTTTAATGGAGGTGTTTTTTTGCACCATGTTGTAATTTGATTAATGCTTTTTTTCTTAGTTATTTCTTGTGAAACCCTATACGTGTTAGCTGTAAAATGTGCCACATACATAAAGTTGATTCTTGATCTCATGGTTGTTATAAACCGTCCACAGCTCGAACGTTAGCAGCAGATTAACAGCAGATAATATGGCTTGTACCACATCAAAACAAATATACTGAAGGGAGTGAAAGCGTACTGTCCTTATTCAGTACCTGTTGGTGTGTTTCTGTGTTCAGGTGGTTCTGGGTCTGGCTGAGGATCTCCTCCGTTCAGCATCTCAGAACAGTCGCATCTCCCTGCAGAGGACTCAGGCCGGCTGGATGCTCGTCTCCTCCCTCATCACTCTGGGTAACATGACATTTACGCCTTTACTTTATCCATGAGTCCTCCTCCTCAGAACACCTGGTTCTGTATCTGCAGAACCTTTATCTACTGACCAGAGTTCTACCTTCAGACTGTGAATGTTCCAGAGGTCCAGGTCCTTGAAGTCCACAGAGGAGGGTCTAGATTGATCACTTTAATGGACTTTTTCCATCATTTCTGAGCCTCAGAACTTCATCAGTACAGCAGATAGACACATGACATCCCCAAAAAAGAGTAAATGTCCCAGAATTCAACTTACCGTCTGAAATGTAAGAGAAATATTAGTAAATGTCAGGAAAAATAAAATGTTTGAAAAAAATAATAAAATGTTTCAAAACTATTAAACATACAAAAAAAAAAAAAGTTGTGAAATTTAAAATAAAATGTCCTGAAGGCTGCTATAGGTGTAAAATCGAGAGATGGACGGTGAGTTCTGGTGTCAGAGCTGAACAGAACTCGTGTTTTGAAGCTGTCAGACTGTCGTGCTGACCTTTTGGGGCGTTGGTGTGCTTGTGTGTCCAGGTCCGGCGGTGGTTGAACACCACCTCTCCCGCCTCCTGCTGCTGTGGCGCTGCGTGTTTCCTGCTTCGCTCAGAGAGCAGGACATGGAGCTGCGCCGAGGGGACTACTTTACGTGGCAGGTTACACTGGAGGGACGAGCAGGGGCGCTCAGTGGTCAGTGCACACACACACACACACAGATGAATCGTAGCGAGTGGACGTTTGTCTGAAGTGTGTCTTTGTCGAACAGCGTTGAAGAATCTGCTGCTGCACTGCAGGGACCTCGTCACCGATGATATCATCAGCCGCCTGCTCACGCCATTGGTCTGCGCTGTGACACTGCTCAACAAGTCGGTCCCTGATTGGTTCACACGCATCCTGTTTATTCATCTGCTTAGCTTCAGATTAGACATAAAACTCAGACTAACACTGAATGTAAATGTGTTATATTATATTGTAATGTGCTAGTTTACAGTCTGGGATCAGTAAAGTCTTGTGTTTTCATTTCTGCTGCTTCTGTATGTCGTCTGTATGTCGTCTGTATTATATATTGCGTTGTGTTGTTGTGTGTCCAGGTTGCCCGCTCTGCTCAGGTCTTACGGCAGCTCGGTTCGTTGCTGGTCGGTTGTCTACAGATTGAGAGTTTACGAGCTGCTCGCTCTGCTGCCTCCACACACCTACCAAGGTTCAACCACACCTCCACACTGTTGTCTGTCTTTAAACTCTCTCTCTCTTCCATCATTGATTTATTCTCCTTTGAATCAAGTCCTTTTCAACAAATCTTTCCTTCTGTTTCCTTCCTCGATATTTAACTGAATCACTTCCTTTCCTACCGTCTTTGTGTTCAGTTTCCATTTTTCATTTCGTTTAGTTCTCACCTTGTATTCCTCAACTGTTTGTTCTTATTTTGATGCAATATATCAACTGTTTTATCAGTAGAATGTCAAAAAGCAGAGAGAGGTTTTGTTTCATCAACCTGAAAATATTAATTTTATGATGACAGAAACATGAGGAAAGAAGGAAATCCCCTGATTGGAGAAAAATTAAAACTAAATCTCAAAATAATGCTGATTAACATTCCAAACATATTTTTTACACTTACATGTGAACAAAGTTGTTCATGGCCAAGAGTTACCACCAAATTTTAAGCTACAAATGTGTGAAATTAGAAGTTTATAAGAGCTAAGAAACATCTTCCAACCTGCTTCTAATATTATTATTATAATAACAGAGTGCATCGTGTGCTTCATAACAGACATTTAAAGGCATTTAAAAAGTCTTTCACCACCAAAAAGTTGTTTAATATCAGAACAGTGGAGGAAAAAAGCATTTATTAATATCATTAAATAACGTTTTAACTCAGTGAAGTAGTTTTTGATTATCCTTTTCCTTCCCTAAAAACAAAAACAACCCATTCTGTGTTCCATATTTTAATGAAGATAAATAAGTCTGATTAAAGAACGCGTCTTGGTTAAATGTGAGCGTTTTCTCCTGCAGCGGTGGTTGATGGGAAGCTTTTGTTCCTCCTGCAGAGAGCTTTGGTTTGGTGATGAACCAGCTGGTGTCTGATCTGTCCGGTCAGGACAACCTGAACCAGCCGTGCTCTGACCTCACGCTGCTGCCGCCGCTGTGTCACCATGACGACCTGCCGCTGGTCGGCCCCGCCCTCCACGACACTGACCACCGGTACATCGAGGAGCAGGTGAGGCTCCGAGTGCTGCAGGATGGAGGTTGATTTAACTGGACAGGGCTGAAGGATGTTTGTTTGTTTGTTTGTTTGTGTTCAGCTCCACAGCAGCGCTGTGGGCGGAGCCTCTCTGGACAACGACCCCTTCAGTCTCTGTGATCAAAGTGATGAAGCTCCAGCTCCTCTTCCTCCTCACGTCGCTCTGACCGCCGCCGCCGCAACTCTCTTCGGAGTTCTGTTCCCCCACATCATCTCCGCTCAGAGGTAACTGACCTGCTGCCAACTGCACTGCACGGGTATCCAAGAACAGATAACTAGTACGGGTTAACTAGGACCAGATTACCAGCATGAGTTATCCAGGACCAGATAACCAGAATGGGTTATCCATGACCAGATAACCAGTATGGGTTAACCAGGACCAGATAACAAGGACCAAATAACCAATACGGGTTATCCAGGAACAGATACCCAGAATGGGTTAAATAAGACTAGATAACCAGGACCAGATAACCAGTACGGATTAACTAGGACTAAATAGCCAGTACAGGTTAACTTTGACTAGATAGCCTGTACAGGTTACCCAGGACCAGAGAACCAATACGGGTTAACTAGGACTAGAGAACCAGGATCAGATAACGAGCATGGGTTAACCAGGACCAGGTATCCAGTATGGTGTGGTTAACTAGGATCAGATAACCAGGACCATGTAACCAGTATGAGTTATCCAGGATCAGATGACCAGTATGCATCAACCACGACTCGATAACCAGGACCAGATTACCAGCATGGGTTAACCAGGACCAGATAACCAGTATGGGTTAACTAGCACCAGATAACCAGGACTAGATAACCAGTACAAATTAACAACGACAAGATAGCCAGTATACAGTCACCATTACAGACTAACCATTACAAGATATCAGTAGAGATTAACTCATACAGGGTAACTAGTAAAACCTTACCTGTTCAAGATAACCAGAGAATGATAACCAGTAGTCATTACTGATAGTACAAGATAACCAGTAACAGCTAACCAGTACAGATGAACAGAGTGAATTAACTAGTTCATGATAACCAGTATAAGAAATTCAGTGCATTATTACTATTAGAGATGAACAAGTATGAGATAACCAGTACAGATTAAGCAGTGAGAGTTAGCTGGTACAAGTTAACTAGTACAAGATAACGGGTACAACTTAACCAGTACAAGTTATCCGATACAAATTAAGCAGTATGAGCTAACCAGTACAGATTAATTGGTACAGTCGGCTGTTAATCTGTTCCTGATCTGGTCTCAGTTTAGTTAGCTGTTTAGTTAGTTACTAGTTGTAGTAGTTAGTTGCTCCATCAGCGTTTTGCAGTTTGGTTTAGTTAGACTAAACTTTGTGTTCATCAGAGTGAAGATTCTGGAGCAGTTTGTGGAAACAGTGAATCAGCTGAAGGGTCAACGGCAGCAGACGGTCCAGACGCATGTGTGTGCTGCCCTCTGCAGCCTGCTGAAGGTAACACACCTGAGTCTGGTCGATACACACCTGAGTCTGGTCGATACACACCTGAGCGGTCGATATACACCTGTACAACAACACAACAGGCGGAGTCTGTTTACACACACCTGCCATGCTTGTCATGTGACTGCTGTGTGCATTCTGAGAAAATAGATTTTTTTGGCCACCGGGGGGCAGCAGAGCTCCACTACAATCTGATAGACATCAACCTCTGACATATTATCTCTTTGTGTTGTGTTTCTGCTCAGCACCAGGGCAGCGTCCGAGGCTCCTTGGGCCCGGAGGAGATCCGTCCTCCGGCCTTGTCTCTCCTGTCGGGGGCGCTGGAGAGCAGCAGCCCTCTGATCCGCTGCCTGGCTGCCGAAGGCCTGGCCCGGCTGGTCCAGGTGGTCGGAGACCCCGGGTTCACCTCCTCTGTCTCCCTGCTCTGCTTTGACAGGTGACCATGACACGCTCCACACATCTGCTGTAAAATGCTGCAGTCGGTGCTGAAGAGGACTCTGAGTTGTCCTTTTTGGCTTTGGGAAGGTTTTTCGTGTATATTTAGTCCTTAAACAGCAGATTTCCTGCCACAGATGAAAAGTCAGCAGACTCATCTCTATTTATAGTCTCTGCAGTCTGAACGTGGCAGCAGCTGAAACAAAGCAGGTCCTGGTCTGAAAATACGCAGAAAGGCTGCACAATAAACCAGAAATAGTTCAAGGGAAGCTTTAAATACACCAGAGAGACAGCGTGAACCAAATATATCAGAGAGCGATGACAGTTTGCTGCACTGCAGGTTGGAGCTGTTTTTATCCAGATGGAGGAAACAACCAACCTGTGATGACAGAAAAACTGATTATTGATCTGTAACCAGGACGTGAAGGCGATAAAGGTCCCATACTGAACTCAGCTCACTGTCAGGCTACACTGAAGTGCCAGATTGTTTTCTGTGTGCAGAAGAAATGTAATCTTTCTGCAGATTTTTCACAATAAAAGCCTGCCAGTTAGACCCCTGAGCTGCTGAGAGGCTTTTAATGTGGTATAAAATTTGTGAGTAAAGCAGATGCACAGCTGCTTCCATCTGTGACCTGTTGTCAAACTGACTCTCAGGTATGATGTCCAGTGGCCTGATTTGTCTGTGACATTGATCAGAATCAGTTATTGATTCTGGATTAGGTGGAATCAGATGATTTAATATCATAGATACTAGCAGATCAAACCAAAGTCAGTAGCTGTTTGTGTTTGTCAACGGTTTTTATCAACCGTGATTCTGTGGTAGTGTATGAGTGTTTTGTTTTTTTTTTTCAATTAAAAAAGCAGGAACCACAAGAGCACACAATAAAATAAGTTAAATGTAAATAGTTGAAGACTGGAGGCAGATCAGATGTTTCTGAATATCCTCAGACGTATCTTTGACTTTGATCGAGCCGTGCTAAGCTAACCGCTAACGGTTTCCATGGTGTCCGACTCAGGCTGAAGACGGCCCGCGATGCAGCGTCTCGCAGTGGCTACGCTCTGGCTCTGGGGGCGCTGCAGCGATACACCGGAGGAATCGGCTCCCCTCAGCTCCTGTCCACCTGCCTGGGAGTTCTGTTCACGCTGAGCCAGGACAGCACCTCACCTGAGGTCCAGGTACGCACAGGTGGCTCTACATGGAGGGTCCTGGAGGTGATGTGTTGACTTGTTTCCTCTTTTAACCTCGACCTCCCACAACCACCAAGCAGCGCGTCTGCGTATTTGAATGGATTCCTCTCCAAAGCTTATTTCCTCGCAGTGTTTTTCATTCTGTCTTTCTGAGCTTGTCGGATGTCACGGCTGAAATTCTCTGATTGTTTTCTTTCTAAACGCGTTACACAAAATCCTGCAGGTCAAAGTTAACAAACTTTTTAAACAAATTTTTACAGAATTTCTTGAAACTTTGTCTTAAAATACCGACAAGCTTCCTTCTGTCCTCCATCCTCTGTTTTACAAAGATTCCTTGAACTATGTTGAGTATGAATGACTCTCGTGTCTGCAGGTTCAAACACGTTGAGGCCTTTAGAAGCATGACAGTAGATTTCCAGACGCCCTGTGAACCCTCAGAGGAGATTCTCAGGTAAAAACCGTCTGTGTCTCTGGTCCTCCTGCAGACCTGGTCCCTCCACAGCCTGTCCCTGGTGGTCGACTTGTCCGGCGGCCTCTATCGGACCCACGCCGAGCCGTCCTTCACCCTGGTGCTCCGGCTGCTGCTGTCCACGCCGCCCACCCACCCCGAGGTGCACCACAGCCTGGGCCGCTGCCTGCACGGTCTCATCACCTGCCTGGGCCCCGACCTGCAGGGTACGGTCTCACCTGTGGCCGCCGCTGCCTGAGCGGGTCACAGACGCGTTAGTGACGGATGCTCTGTGTCTCCAGGTGACGGAGCGGCAGTGTCCGGGCTGCGGTCCAGCTGCCTGGTGGGATGTGGAGTGATGCAGGCCGGTCCAGACTGTCTGGTTCAGGCCAGAGCCATCTCATGTCTGCAGCAGCTGCACATGTTCTCACCTCCACACGTGAACCTGGCCAGCCTCGTACCTGCTCTCTGCGTGAGTACACCTGAGTTATTTAGGGCTAGAAGTCCCTCATGGAGTCTTTCTATAAACTCTTCATCCCTTTGACTGTTTTCTGCTTCTGTTGCTTTTGGTCATTTTAATTTGGCTTTTTTGACAAGAACTTACAAAACAAAAGGTCTCCTTCATGACAAAGTGACGGCATAATAACGTCAATTAGTTAAAAAAAAGTAAAATTAATTATTCCCTAAATACTCTCCTCCTCCAGTCAGTATGCAGTAGATGAACCTTCAGGTCCATCTTTGGTCCTGTTGGTCTCCATCAGTCTGAACATCTGGATGCTGCAGTTTCACCTCATTCTTCTGATGAAACTGTTCAGACTCTGTCAGGTTCCACAGGGATCATGAGTGAACAGAACTTTTCAGGTCCAGGCACTAGTTCTCAGCTGGAATGAGGTCTGGACTCTGACTGGGCCTCCATAACTTCACCTTGTTGTCTTCAAACCATTTCTGTGGAGCTTTGGCTGTTTGCTTCGGCTCATTGTCTGGATGGAAAACAAATCTTCTCCACGTCTCAGTTCTCCTGCAGACTGCATCAGGTTGTCCTCCAGGATTTCTCTACACTTTGCTGCATTCATTCACCCTCTACCTTTACAAGCCTTCCAGGCTGCTGCTGAGAAGATCCCCACATCATGATGCTGCCACCACCGAGCTTCACAGAGGTGATGGTGTGTTTGTGATGATGTGCAGTCGTATCATCTACTCTGATGGACAAAATGCCCCACTTTGGTCTCCTCAGACCAGAGAACCTTCTTCCAGGTGACTTCAGAGTCTCCACGTCTTCTGGTAAACTCTAGTCCAGATTTAATTTGCTTTTTCCCACAGCGATGAAGCTTTTTCTCAGCTGCTGAAGCTTGCACCTCCTTCAGAGGAGTCATAGGTGTCTTGGTGACCTCCCTCACTAGTCTCCTTCTTGTACCTCCTTCAGAGGAGTCGTAGGAGTCTTGGTGGCCTCCCTCACTAGTCTCCTTCTTGTACCTCCTTCAGAGGAGTCGTAGGAGTCTTGGTGGCCTCCCTCACTAGTCTCCTTCTAGTACCTCCTTCAGAGGAGTCGTAGGAGTCTTGGTGGCCTCCCTCACTAGTCTTTTGTGTTCTTATTCTGATTGTACTTTTTAAAATCCTGTTTAATTGACTTTACTTTGTAGAAATCTGTTTTCACTTTAACATAAAAGAGTCTTTTTTTGTAAATACCTGTCAAACAAGAGCTAAAATAAATCGGCTGTGCTTCAGAGTTAAAAAGCAACAAAAAGGGAAAACTTAGAAGAACGCTCATTACTTTTATAGACACTGTAGTTGATGCTTGTTCATCGGCAGTTCTGAGTGTTTGTGTGTGTTTTTGACCCTGCATTGTGTCTTACAGGAGATCTTGTTGGATTATTCCATGTTGGTAGGTCCTCCTTAAGGCCTGAACCTGCTGCTGTCTGTTTTACTTTCTGTCGCATCTGTTTGGTTTCTGTTGCGGTGGAGTCGGGCTAGGCGACATAAACAATAAAAAACTTCACAGCGTGGGATTTAGAAGGACAGACTGACAGTACAGAAGATTTGTTTGTTTTATGAGCTAAAAACATGTACGAGAAATACTGCAAACTGTCTGATGAAGCATTCAGAGTGCAAACACTGACTCTCACCAGCGATTATCCAGGAGCAAGCAGTGCTGCTCTCAGAGACACACTGCTGCGTCATCTTGCTTTTCTAACATTTACACTTTAAGGATCTGGTATCTTCAGCTGCAGGGACTCTGAAGCTCAACAGAAATGTGCCTTAATGTATAACATATATGATTATCAATGACGTCGCCCGGCTCCACTGTGGATTGTTTACGAGCTCACTGAAACACACGTTTAACATCACGAAGCACATTAACATTTTTCTGTTGCTGTGACTTCTGCTGCACTGAATTTTAACACTTTCTGTTATTAACTCACCGTTTTTGCTAAACTTTTATTTAGTTCATTTGCTTTGTTTGCTTTGCAGCTAATTTAATAACCACCTTAACGACTGTGCCGCCTTAAAACGATCCTTTATACGAGAGATGAAGTGTTTTATCCAGACAGTTATTATCATTATTGTTGTGCATCTTGTAAAGTTGATTAATTAATCTGGAGTAAGTTGTTGTAGAGCAGTGACTTCGTACCAGAAAGAATTTCTAGATTTTTCACTCAAATAGACAAAAAAGACAAAAATGGGATAAAATATATAAACAGAAAAAGTTTTGTCAGAATTTATTAAAGCATTTTTATTTTAAGGATTGGCAAATATTTGCTTTTTAAAAGTGAGAGCATTGGACCAAAAGATTCTACTTAAAGATGTCACTGTAGGTTTATTTATAACTTTTCATTGTGATGTTTCTTACATTATTTGATAAATGATAAATCCCTTTACGTAAACAGCGTCTGGAGGAAACACCGTCTTGTCGCTGCATGTTGCGCCCTGACGGTGGCTTATATTGGGTATGAACTGGTGTAAACTGTGTTCCAGGCCAACCTGTGCAGCTCCTTCCTGTGTCTACGGCGAGCCGTGGTCGCCTGTTTGCGGCAGCTGGTCCAGCGGGAGGCGCTAGAGGTTTCTGAACACGCCGTCGCTCTGGTCAAAGAGCTGCCGAGACGAGACAACACGCAGCTCGGTGAGACGACGCTTTATGTTCCTAATACGAGGAGCAGCATCATTTATGTAAAGTCTGAACCCAAAAACCGGGATGCAGGTTTTCTACAGCAGATGGACACATGATGGTCCAGTACATACCAGGACCATCTGTAGACAGGATTCACTCTGTGGGGAAGTTTTCTAATCTAAGAGTTGGTGCGTGTCTCAATCAGGATGATAGTGTTTGATGAAAGACCACCGTGTCTCTGTGCAGACGTCACCATAAAGGAAGTGGGTCTGGAAGGAGCTCTGTTCACTCTGCTGGACCGAGAGTCAGATCCAGGGCTGAGGAAGGACATCCAGGAGACTCTGGTCCACATGATGGCATCCAGCAGCAAACTGGGACACTGGTTGAAGCTCTGCAAAGACGTCCTGTCTGCAACCACAGGTGGGTCAGCGGTCTGGGGTGGTTTAGGGAAGTTTGGGATCATTTTGTGTCGAAGTTTTATTTTCTCAGCGTCTTCAGCATGTCGTGTCTCTGCTCTGAATCTTTGACTGAACTGCTCTCCAGTTTAATCAGTGACGGAGGTTAATATTCGTTGCAGCACTGATATAGGCTCGTTTTGGTTCAGTGATTCATTTAATTGTCAGCAAAATGCCAGAAAATGATGAAAAATGCTGATGAACATTTACCACTGACTACAGTAACGTCTACAGATGAAGATCGGTGACATAGAAGTTGTTCTGATGACACAACGTTGGTCCAAATTACTTGAATCTTTACTACACTGACCTAAAATTTGTCCAAAATGACTCAAATTGTTCCAAATGGATTGAAACTTGTTTTAAATGACAAAAATTTGTAAAAAATTTACTCAAAAGTTCTCCAAAATAACTTGAAATTTGTCCAGAATTACATTTTATCAGCCAAACAAGTCACTGATTAATCCAGAGAACAGAACGATAGAAGGCTGAGTGATCTGTACGTTCAAACCTATTAACGTCTCGTCTCTTAAACCTGCCAGACTGTCGAGCGCCGCTGGAGGCGAGTCAAGAGGACGAGGAGGCCGACAGCGGCCGAGACGATGACTCATCGGCGTTCCGAGCGCGCTCAGAGAGCAGCGGTCCGTTCACGGCGCTGCGTTGGGCCACGCGACGCTTCGCCATGGAGTGTGTGTGTCGCATCATCGCTCAGTGTGAGTCAGCCGACCCGGCTCACTTCGACATGGTTCTGGCTCAGGAGCGGCGGCTGCACGAGTCCACAGGTGAGAGCTGGTTCAGCTGGTTCAGGTCGGTTCTGGTCTCACACCTGAGTGACACCTCACCCGTCTCCCCTCAGACTTCCTGGTCCTCCATCTTGGCGACCTGGTCCGCATGGCGTTCATGGCGGCGACGGACCACAGCGACCAGCTGCGACTGGCCGGACTTCAGACGCTGCTGGTGATCATCAGACGGTTCTCCTCCATCCCAGAACCAGAGTTCCCGGGTCATGTGATCCTGGAGCAGTACCAGGCCAACGTAAGAACCGACACCACGGAGCTGTTGAACAACAGAGCTCAAACAACAGCTGATTTAGACAAATTAATATAAAGTATGTTAGAGTTCAGTGAACAGAAAACTGGATTCTGATTTAAAATCATTGTTTATAAAATTACATGTGACCCGTCCAAATGAGTCAAAATTCTAATAATTCACTCAAAACTTGTTCAAAATGGCAAAAAGTGAACTAAAGAACTTTAAATTGGTAAATCGACTCAAAACATATGTTAAATTATTTCGCTTATTCAGAAAAACTCAAATGTTTCCCAAAATGAGACAAACGTGAACGAAAAACTCCCCAAACAAGTCAGATAGTCTGAAATGACCAAAGCATGTCCTGAATAACTCATTATACTACTTGTATGTATATTATGTGTATTGTTTTGTGGTTTGTTTGTTTTTATTTTATTCTTATTTTATGTGTGTTAGTTGTTGTTTTATATTGTGTTTATATTCTACATGACTGTTTATATTATATATTTTATTGCTTTTTTAAATTTTAATAACTCCATTCAACTTGTTATCTGATAATTCTAAATTGAAATATTGATTTTATGTCTCAGAGTTTCAACCTGCCATGAACATTTTTCCTTTTTTAGTTTTGTTTTCTTTTTGAAATCCTGCTTCATTCCCTGAACAGACGTTTTCCTGCTCGTAGATCTGGTGTTCACTCAGATAGATCCAGTATAGATCAGGTGTCTGTAGTTCTGTTCATCCTGTCAGTTCATGAATCCTTCAGCAGATCTGAAGTCAGACCAGAGAGAAGACAGTCTGACAACAACACAAACAGAAGGGCTATTTTTAATTGTCCGTAAATGGAGTGACTATGTGTTGATCCAACTGTTGATGTGTTTCCAGGTGGGAGCTGCTCTCAGACCAGCCTTCAGCGCTGATGCTCCTCCTGATGTCACCGCGAAGGCCTGTCAGGTGATCAATAATCCCCGTCAGCTGATCACCAGCTGCTCACCTGACTCCCCCTCTAACTCCGCCCCCTCTCCTCTGCAGGTGTGCAGCGCCTGGATTGCCAGCGGCGTCGTCAGCGACCTCAGAGACCTTCGTCGCGTCCACCAATTGCTGGCCTCCTCATTGGCTAAGGTCCAGAGTGGGCGGGACCCGTCCAGCCAGCTGTACAACGAGGCGGCCGCTACCATGGAGACGCTGGCTGTCCTCAAAGCCTGGGCCGAGGTGAGCGACAGAGACTTTGGACAATTACTGTCATGATCATTCATTTCTGCTTTTATCACCATAGAAACCTGTCAAACAACATCTTTAATGCAAGTGTTTACTGTGAGGTTTAAGTTTAACGTAGAGTTAACAAACCAGGTCCTTAAGGTTCATCCATCATCTATACACCACTTAGTCCTCACTAGGGTCAGGGCTCCCGGCCGACTCAGGGTGAAGGCAAGTTCACCTGGACAGGTAACCAGTCTATCACAGGGACACACTTAGAGACAGACAACCAAGCACACTCACATTCACACCTACAGACAATTTAGGATCATTTATCATTTAGAACCTGGAGAGAACCCACACTGCACAGGGAGAACATGGAGACTCCACGCAGAAAGGCATCTTAACAGGGAAACTAACCAGGGACCTTCTAGCTGCGAGGTGATGGTGCTAACCACCGAGACACCTGCTGCCCTCCCTCAACGTTCTTTCAATCTAAAATCAGTTAAATCAGATAAAGTTCCTCCCCGACCTCCAGAACCTTTATCTAGTGACCAGAGTTCTACCTTCAGACTGTGAATGTTCCAGAGGTCCAGGTCCTTGAAGTCCACAGAGGAGGGTCCAGATGGATCACTTTAATGGACTTTTTCCATCATTTCTGAGCCTCAGAACTTCATCAGTACAGCAGATAGACACATGACATTTAGGAGGAAGAACACATCCGGGTTCTGGTAGAACCTGACACCAGATCAGTTCTACATTCATTCAGGTGTCTCAGTCTGAACACTGGATCTGGTTCTGTTCATGTCCTCTGCCAGCAGCTGGTAGCATCAGTATTATGGGATGTCTCATAGTGGTACCAGTTTATTGTCTATGACATAGAGTCATAGAAACAATCATTGGTACCCTGGATGTGGTTCTGGTTCTGATCATTCACCAGAGGAAACTTTACAAAGTGCATTCTGGGTAAACTTTCCAGGCTCATATCAGCATGTGTGATGGTGGTTGGTCAGAACCAGTTCTAGACAATGGAAGGACCATTTTACCTCCAGAACCTACCAGGACTATTCTGAGGAGGTCAGGGTGGAGGACTGATGGAAGATCTTCAGTAACTTGGATGCACAAGACAACAGCTTGTGTTCACGAGACCTTGTTTTTTTTTTTTTATCTTAATCTGGGCTTTCACACAAATTTTAAAACGTTGCTCCTGCCTTGTCGCATCTTTGCGACAGTTGAGCAGAAGAAGTTCTTCAATCAGATCTTGTTGGATCCAAAAAGAATGATGGAATCCATCTGAACTGACTTCCTGAAGTCTTCTGCTTTCCTCTGTCAGGTTTACATCGTCGCTGTGGAGAGAAGTCGACTGAAGGAGAGTCCTGGTGGGTCAGTTGACCTGTCGGACTCCTCCTCGACCAATGACAGCTCAGGCTGTGAGTCGGCAGGGGTGGGACTTCTGAAGCTGGTCCAATCAGATCTGTCGACGCTGAGTCGTCTGTGGTTGGCGGCGCTGCAGGATTACGCCCTGCTGACCCTCCCACAGGACTACACAGCACAGCTACCTGCATCAGGTAGGACGGAGGCTCGTGTCTGGTTCTGGTCTTCATGCACAAGTTTAATTTAAATTCATTTAAAGAATTTTACAATAATAAACTGTGTTACAGATTCGTCTACGAGTCTTCGAGTTATTTTTTCTTTACTCTCAATAAGACTCAAACTCACTTTAACAGTCTCCAGGTGACTTGTGTGCACCTGTTTAATGTGTCCTAAATGTCTTGTTGGTTGTTAAAAGGTCTCAGAATACGTCCAGAATTATCTGGACTATAATGTGAATTAGCCCCAAATGACTCAGAACTTTTACTAAAATGTAACCTTCTACCCAAATTACTTAAAAATTATTCAAAAAAAATACTCCTACTTATGAAAAAATGCCCCTATAGAGGTGTATTTTTGGGATGTTTTCTCTGTTGTTGGAGAGTTACAGTGAACAGAGACAGGAGATGTAGGAACAGAATTCAATGAAGTTTTATTCCATTTTGCATCAGTTCACGGCCTCTCATAACTCAGCGAGGCAAAGACCCGAGAACCGGACAATCCAAAGATCCCTTTGGATTCCCTTTGAGCGAGCAGTCAGTGACGGCAGGAAGGAACCAAAAAAATAAAGAAAAAATGAGGAAAGAGCCGAGGAATCACATGCAGTAAAGATCCAGGCGCCACTTAAATAATTCTACTGTTGCTGCAGGAAACAGCTTCTCTGTGAGGAGACTTGGATCATGACTGTGTTCAGAGATCCAGCAGCAGTAACTCCTGTATGTTGCTGTGATATTTCCAGCTCTGTGCAGAGTTAACACCTGCTTCATGTGAACCTTCTCCTGCAGGAGGAGCTTTCTACACAGCAGAGACGGTGAACCAGGCCAGAGCTCATTACTCCTCCAGCTGGGCTCCGGTTCTTCAGGCCTCGTCTCTGTGGCTGCACAGCTCAGGTCAGCTCCGGTCCCTGATCTTCCTCTAGTCAACACCTGTACAGGTGTGTGTTAACATGTCACCGTCTCTGCAGGCTTCCTGATGTCAGACGACACACCTGCCAACCTGTCCAGACCGGCCACGCCCACCTCCATGGGCCACAGCAGCTCAGTGGGCGGAGCCAAGAGTCCAGAGGACGTAAACACCGACAGGCTGCATCTGATCTTAGGTAGGAGCTGGTTTCGTGGAGAACTCTGCAGAGAAGAAACTGGTTTCGTGGAGAATTCTGCAGAGTAAAAACTGGTTTAGTGGAGAACTGTGCAGAGAAGAAACTGGTTTAATGCAGAACTCTGCAGAGCAGAATGTGTGTTTATTCCTCTCATGTTGGCTGCTTTGTGTTTCCAGGCATCAGTGTGGAGTTCCTCTGTTCTCCGCACTCTGAGGACCAGATGGAGAACATCACTTCCTGTCTGAGAGCTCTGCAGGCACTGCTGGACGTCTCCTGGCCTCGAGCCAAGATCGGAAACGACCAGGTGAGACACACCTGGACTTTGATATGGACCTGAGTCAGCTGAATTCAGAGTAGATGTAGCTGACTCAAACGTCTCCACAATGACACTGAATTACCTGAAATAACTCCAACACTACTGAGAACTTGTAAAAGCGACTTAGAATTCATCCAAATTGACTTAAATTGCCTTTTAGATGTTTTATAATTGTTTTATATTTTGTGTTCGGCACTTTGTTTGGAGTTTTGTTGTGTTGAAGTGCTTTTTAAATAAAGTTGAGTTGAGAGTAAAAGTGGACCAGAATTACTCCAAGCCAGTTAAAGATTACGTTCAGTTTTTCAAAATGCCAGAAGTTTGACCAGAACAAGTCACAAACGTGCCAAACTTGTTGTTAAAAAAGACAAAAATCTGACACTGTGTTTATGTAAAACCTTGTGTTTCTGGCGTTTATGCGGTTAATGGACTGTTACGGTGGGAAGAGACGGGCGATGTGGGGAGACATGACAGGCAGTAAAGCTCCGAGCAGCCGGGGGTCAAACCAGGGACTAAATTAGATCATCCAGAGCAGACGTTAGAGCAGAAACCAGAGAATCCTCACAGACCAGCAGCTTCTGTTGACTGAATGAACCCGTTGGTGTCTCCAGGCTCTGAGTGTGGAGCTGCTCAGCGTCCTCCACAGACTCATGGTGACCCGAGAGTCGGCCTCCGTTCAGCTCGCCGTGCTGGATTTGCTGCAGCAGATCGTGACGGCGGCTCAGGAGCACGTCAGGGAGAAGCGCCACTCAGCTGAAGGTAAACACAGCCTGATGTGTTATTACTACTGATGATGATGAAGAGTTGAGCCTCGTCCAGCTTAGCGTCTCCGTCTGTCCTCAGTGGATGATGGAGCAGCAGAGAAGGAGACGCTGCCCGAGTTCGGAGAAGGACGGGACACCGGGGGTTTGATTCCCGGCCGCTCGCTGGTGTTCGGAGCTCTGGAGCTCTGCCTCTGTGTTCTGGTCCGGAAACTCCCACAGCTGAGTCCAAAACTGGCCGGAACCAGTCCAACCGGTAAGAACTCCCCACTAACCCCCTCAGGACCAGCTGTTTCTGCATCTGCAGAAACTTTAAGCACAGTTTTACCTTCATACTGGGAATCTGTCCAGAGTTACAGGAAGTGCAGAAGGACAATAAACAATCGTGTTCAAAATGAAAAAAAACACAACATTTCCAGCCTCATAGCTTCATAGATTCATTCACTTTACTCCTCTGTTGTGAGTGAGGACAGAACAATGAGTACGGTACAAACAGTGCAAAGCTTCCCAGAATAGGAATCTTTTGTAATCGGACTGAAGACATTTAACTAACTGAGCAGAGATCTACACCTGATCTGATCAGACGTATTGATCTGCTCCTTTGTTCCCAAATCTGAGTCTGTGAAAGCTCAACAGATTGTAAATGACTCAGAAGTCGTCCACGATAACTCAGATATGAAGCAAAATTACTGAAAATTTACCCAAAATAAAAATGACTTTAAATTTGTCCGAAATGACTCAAAAACTGCCAAAAACAAACACTTAGAAATGTCCTGAAATGACCCAAAGTTTTACCAAAATTACTCAATATTTGTCCAAAATTACAGAATTTCACAAATTGCAGATTTTCCTCATTTCTTTCTTTCTTTAAAATTGAATTCTCTAATTTGATCAAAACTAAACTTGCTTTTCATCTGTGTGTGTGTGTGTGTGTGTGTGTGTGTGTGTGTGTGTGTTCGTGTGTTCTGTTCTGTTCTGTTCTGTTCTGTTCTGTTCAGGTTGTGGTTCTTCCGCCTGGACTCTGACTGACAGCGATTGTCGTCTCGTAGCGTCGGCGGTTTCGGTCCTTTCTGAGCTGCCGTCCGTCTGCTCTCCTGAAGGTCAGAACTGTAGCCTCCTCGTGCTAACGTTAGCTGGCGCGCCTCAGTATTGGCCTCTCTGATTGGTCGGTTTCTGTTCTCTGTGCAGGCAGCGTCTCCATCCTCCCCACGGTCCTCTACCTGCTACTGGGAGTCCTCAGAGAGCTGGTACACCAGCCCAGCACACACACAGGTAACACACACACGCACACACACCTACACACACACACACACACACACACACACACACACACACAGAGAGGTGGGCCAGTTGTGTTCTAATAATTCTAATAAATCTCCCAGGCGCCCCGGCGGCGGCCCCTGGAGCCGGTCTGGTGTTGGTGGTCCAGGCCACTCTTCAGGCTCTGAAGTCCGTCCTGACGTCACCGATGAGCCGACAGGAGAAAAGTCGAGGAGCCTGGAAGCTGCTGCTGAGATCAGCTCTGAACACTCTGCTGACTCTCTGGGACTCTGGTATTTATTCACATACGAGCCGTGAACAGATGGAACCAGTGAAGCATGAATCTTTGTCACAAAAACACAATCAGGAATTTGGGTTCTCGTCTAGATTTATTAAAGGTCTTCTGGAAACATGACAACCTGCTGGATCATAAGTAAACAAACAGAAACGTTAATATCTGGTTAAATGTCCATGTTCTCCTCAGTCGGGTTCTTCTGGTTCCGTCCGCCAGCTTCTGGTTCATCTCTGACTCCTCTGGACAGAATCGCTGCAGTTCAACTAAACTTGTCGTCTTTCTGACTCAGACTTGTTTCTCCATCAGTCCACAGGTTCTGGATGGTTCCAGTCAGGACTTTGGGGAGACCAGTCTAGAACCTTTATTCCAGCCTGATGGAACCATTTCTTCATCACTTTGATGTGTGTTTGGGCTCATTGTCTGGTTGGAACGTCCAAGATCAATCTTCTCTGATGGTTTGAGGTTTTCCTGAACAACGTGGAGGTGATCCTCCTTCTTCATTGGTCCATTGACTTTGTGTGAAGCTCCAGGTCCACTGGCAGCAGAACAGAACCAGAGCATGATGCTGCCACCTCCATGCTGGATGGTAGGTTTAGTGTTCTTGGGGTTAAAGGCCTCACCTTCTCTCCTCCAGACATGGTTCTGCTCAGTGTTTGTTCCATCTGACCAGAACTTTCCTCCAGAAGGCCTTTTCTTTGTCCATGTGATCAGACTTCAGTGGAGCTTTAAGGTTCTGCTTCTAGAGGAAGAACTTCCTTCTCCATCAGCCTCTCAGCTCATGTTGATGTCAGACCCTGTGGACACTGACAGCTGTGTTCCAACAGCTTCTGATCCATCCAGAGCTGCTTTCTGCTGGTTCCTGGTTGACTTGTGACCATCCTGACCAGTCGTCTCTCAGCAGCAGCTGATAGTTTGTGTTTCCTTCCTGATGGTGGCAGTAACACAACTGGACCATGAACTTTATGCTGACACACTGATGGTTTTGGGATCTTCTGTGCTGAGCTCCTCAGACTTTAACAAACCAAGAACCTGTTGAGAACAACCTAAAACTTGTCAAGAAAAAATGATGTTAAATAACCCGACTTTGTCCAAACTGTCCTCAGGTTCGTCGGGTTGTTCTGTGGACCAGATCAGCCTCCTCACTGCTCTCACCGTCTTCCTGCTGTCGGCCGGTCCGGATGTTTGCATCGTCGAGCCTCTGCACGCGCTCAGTCTGCGGCGCTTCACTACCAGCATGGAGTCCAAAGACCCGCTGGTCAGTACCAGAACACGACTCTGGGTTCTAATTTAGCTGAAGGGTTCTGCTGTGTGTGAAGTCTCATCCTGGAAACGATCTGATGTATCGCTGCTTAGGTTTAACATCACACAGGTTCATGAGATCAAACTTTAAATCTGTTCAAAGGTTTCCATTTATTAAGTTCAGCCACAGAACCTGTAAAAAGCTGCCAACACGTTCTGTCTGCTGTAAAACACAACAACTAAACATGAAGGAGGTCCTCCATCTTCTTTCCAGATGTGACAGGATCTTCTGGTTTATTTCATCTTGCTGTGTTTCTCTTCATGTGTCTCTGCACCGGACTGACTTTAAACCCTCCACCTCCGTTATAGAGAGTCAGAGAAATGACAACTAAACCAACCAACTAAACCTAAACCAAACCAACCAACTAACCCTAAACCAAACCAACCAACTAAACCTAAACCAAACCAACCAACTAACCCTAAACCAAACCAACCAACTAAACCTAAACCAAATCAACCAACTAAACCCTGCAGGTTGCCAAAAGTAGGATGTTTTGACACAGTGAGCCATGGTGGTGAGAGTCGCAGGTCGTTTAAGTTGATAGTCACTTCTTCAAAAACTTCAAAAAGGACTTACTAAATGTCAAAAATGATTTGGTAGTTTAAAAAAAAAAAGACTCAGTAAATGCCCAGAAGAACAAAACGTCCAAAATGACTTGATAAGCATTTATAAATCACACAGACTCAATAAATGACTACAGTACACAAAATGTCCAAAGTTACTCAATAATTGTCCCAAATTAACTCAAACTTTTCCTAAATAACAAAATTTTTTGTCTAGAATGACAAAATGTGTCTGAAATTAGTGAAAATGTTTGATAATTGTTTAAAAAGACTCAATAAATATCCAACATGAAGTATATTTGTCCAAAATGACTCAACATTTATCCAGAAATAGAAGAGAAATTACAATAAGAGAACATCAACAACACATATGTTCAAGTTGGGGAGAAGCTTTTTAAAATGCAGACAACTGTCTAAAATGTCTTTAAACCAAACCAAGATGATGTTCCATCACACACAGAAACAAACTGCTCATAAATATGGTGATAATTTGTGTGAAAATCGTTTTATTGGAAGCCTGTTTTATTCTAATAGTTCTAAACTTGTCAAGATGAATGTTTTATACTGTGTAGTTAGTCAAATGTCATTGAATAAAACCAACAAAACAGTGAATAAAACCAATAAACTGTGAATAAACCAATAAACTGTAAATAAAGCCAATAAATTGTGAATAAAACTGATACAACAGTGAATAAAATCAATACCACTGTGATTAAAGCCAATAAATCAGTAAATAAAACCAACAAAACAGTAAGCAAAACCAATAAACTGTGAATAAAGCCAATAAATTGTGAATAAAACCAATAAATTGTGAATAGAACTAATGAACTGTAAATAAAACCAATAAAACAGTCAATAAAACCAAGACATCTTCCTCCTCCTGCGAACTCTGAGTCTGAGGTGATTTGATGGACTCGATGTCTCCAGTTTCAGCTCAGTGATGTCAAACACTCAGATATAGCAGTGACCTGGTTCAGTGTGTCTGAGGTCGGCAGGTCAGAGTCTCGTCCCAGTTCTCCCAGTATGCAGGTCAGCCGGCTGCTGGTCTCCGTTTCCAGTCAGAGACAACACAGCTGATCAGCTGATCGGTGGCCGACCGGCTCTGAACTCTGGTTTCTGCTGCAGGTGGTGAGTCGCTGCTACCAGCTGCTGACGTCGGTGTTCCAGGCTCCGCCGGGCGTCGCTGTGCCCTACATCCAGGCCCTCGGCCCGGCGCTGGTCCGCTTCCTCCAGGTACCAACCAGGACTCAGCTGGTTGATGCTTTTAGGAATGTACTCTAGGAATAGACTGATTCCAAGTAGAATGTGAGACACGTGATCATTTTCCTCCAACAGTGAGGATTTAACAACAGTCAACAGCAGCAGTGGACACGACTCTGTTCAGTATCACATTAGTATAGAGAATAGTTATACATGTATAGTTATATAGTTATATATATATATATGTGTGTATGTGTGTGTGTGTGTGTGTATGTATGTATGTGTGTGTGTGTATATATATACACATATATGTCACGTTTGCAACGTTTCCTCTGATCAAGTCTCAGTATTTAAATGTTCTTGTCTCTCCAAGTGACTTTGATTTTTGGTTCTGGTGGTGGTTCTGATGGGGGTTCTGGTGTTTCTCCTCAGAAGGTGGAACGAAGTCGACCTCAGAGTCCAGAAGAGCTGATCGGAGTTCTGGAGGGAATCAGAGCCATGGAGGCTTTGATCCAGGCTGCAGAGGAAACACAGCGTCAGTACCACACAGTACTACACAGTACTACACAGTACTACACAGTACCAC